CTTTCAAAATAATACCAACCTCACATGAAAGGAAACCATTTCACAATGAATTTACCAACAGTTCCAATTTAAGGAAAGCAAAACCCTCCCAACAGTTTATGCTCTTTGAGAATGTGAATCCTGCATCACAGATGATGTCATGAGAGATAAAAAAATCACTTTAAAATTGCTAGGATGTCATGTCCCAGTGCTGGAGACTCTGTAACTGGGATAAAGCTGCAAGCCAAGGCTGACAGGCTCTGTTCAGGGGACCCCAGCACATGAACAAAGATAAATGTAGTGTGAGTTACTTTTTGGCACTATGGGGAGTTTAATATAGATGAAAATAAGTTCAGTTTTATTTCAATTCACACTGGGATCTACAAACAAACGCCAGTTATGCAAGTTCAATGAGTTCAAACTCACATGCCTAGTTCATTCAGGCATGTAGGCAAGTAAACCAAGAACTTCCAGCTAGAACTAACCTGAGCTAGAAATGGCATCACTTAGGCATGAATTTCATAATCTAAATATATAATGATAAGTAACAGGTTTTGGTTACATACTCTTAATGACATTCACCTTGGCCTTCTGATTTTTAAAGAATATAAAATATCTTGTTAAACCTCAGCAGTTTTGTATTCAAAATTGATACACTCCTGGTAAATATTCTTTGTGAGGAATATGTACCTTCCTACAATCTCCTACATACCTTCTTAGAGAAATAAGCATGCTAGTTAATACATTGATTTAACTCAGGATGTTGGTGGTAGAACATCATTTTCCCAGAGAAAATAATCTGGAAAACAAACCTGCCTAGCATTAATGGAAATTTAACTAAAAATTAAGATGTCTTCAGTATGAATTGACTTTGTTTATTGGCAGCTTGAGGAAAGGTATTTATTTTCTCTCCTTCACCTTTAACAGATTGCATCCCTTGAGGCCTAAATTCTAAGTAAACTGTTATGATACTGTGCAACGGATTTGTCTGAGCAACCAGCTGAAATTTAGCAGTAATTGCCTATGGTGATATTTTTGTCAGATCTCATTTGGAGATCTCAAACTCTAGATCGTTCATCATATATTTCTGTCTGCAAATACTCTGCATTACATACTGTGGGAGTATTTAATCCACAGAATTACTGTTTTTCATATTAATGAGTTATAAATGAGAGCTTAATTACTCCTAATTCCCTGAAATCCACTGTTGGTGATTATAATCACTAACTATTAGATTGTTAAACATTCATCATTGTCTATCTATAGCAAACTTAATGAGAAATTATGGATCAAATCTCAGTTTCTGATTCTGCTGCCAAGTGCTGGTGGAAGAGAACCCCTGCTGGCTGTAAGCAGTGCCAGGTCACCACTGGTGGTACACCTTGGCATGGACACAGGATGACTGGGAGTCAGCAAAAGATGTGAAGGGAATATACTGTGTTCCTGCCATTCACAGCCCACAGAACTCTCTCCAGGGACCATTTGTCCTGATGTAACTCAAAGCCCTTTCATCCAAATCTACTTTTATAAAGCCTAACTACCCCTGAACTTTCTTGTGTCATTATCAGGACAATGAGGAGATAAGTCACTTGAGATCTTTTCATCCATTTTGAAGAAAAATCACCCTATATGTATTTTAAATAATCTTTACCTGGAAATTTAAGTGGATGATTTGTGTAGAGGTAATGACACTATCCTTTCCACTTGCTCTGTTGAAAGAGGTGTATCATCCAACAAGGCGGGAAATGTGGTGGCAGTCATTTCTTAAACCTGCTTTCAAGTGAACATCTTTCCAAAGTAATAATTTCTTCCTGCTCTTTGTCAAACTGCACTTTTGTCAGATGCAATTGACTTTTTGGAGTAGGAAGAGACTGCTCAAAAATAATCTGGATGCAGTTTCAATAGCACCCTGCACAATAGCATCTCTGGTAAAATGTGTCTTGGAAAGAAAGGGAGAAATAAAAATAAATACTGCACATATTCTATATACATAATTCTCTGTATAGCTTTACATACACACAGAACCTAGATAAATATGTATGTGTTCTATACATGGTTCTATTTAGATATATAGAAAGACATATATAAAGAACTTAATCCGGTAATTCACTTAAATACATACATTTGAGAAATGAGGAATCCCAGTGATTTGAACCAAATGAGTAAATATTCTGTATTTAAAGTTTGCTGCTGAACTGGAACTATGGGTGCAAAAACTTGAGTGAAAATTAATCACTACCTGCACTGAAAATAACTTTCACAAAGAAAAAAGTGTTAATATAAAATATCAGACCACAAACACAGTGAGAAGGTCTATCTCCTGCTCTGTTACATGCAAGTTCCAAGCCTCAATTTACTGTTTACTTTCTCATTTTGAATTTATTTGGTAGCTAAGCAACTCATAATCAGATAAAAAGACGTGACAGCTTAGTATAAATTCAGAAATAATTTAACTCTTCAGAAATGCATATTGAGTGGCATCAGTGAAAACTGTGTTTGATGAAAGATCTAAACTGAAATTCATTATGCTACAAATAAACAGCTATACTTAGGCATGATTTCTATGTCTAGCAACTGCTACTAAACAGTTTTGGCCTCTTGAATGAAAAAAAAAAAATCACATGAGATTTAGGCAGTTTTACTGGGAAGCAGAGACTTTCTGTAGGAATATAGAGACACTGATATGCCCAAGTAACTGGCAGAACTGTTCACTGGTCTTCTGTGATAGCTTTTCATTTGCAGATTTAAGAGCCCAGGATTCTGTGGTACTTACTTCAGGTAAGTCCTGCAAAACCATAGCATTATAGTCCCATCCATTTCAATCAGTAACAACATTCTAAATTATTTTAAATTTTTAAAGCTGTACAGATTTCTTTTTTTTTTTTTTTTTTAGTTTTACCTCATGGTAATAATGGTGGCACTTTGGATTAATGAACAGAATTTTTACTGGGTTTTTTTTTGAACTACATTGAACAATTGAACTAATGAACATTGAATTTTGTTTGAACTACAGACTAGAAGCTAAATGAGACAGGAGTGGCGGTCCCACCCAGTTCATAAGCAGGCTTTTGGAGGTGAGGTTGCAATTGCTGAAGTATCTTTTGGTTTGATTTCAGCCAGACTGGTTCCCTCAACAAGCTGCCTTATAAGCCACACAAATCATAAGACCAGAAAATGAGTGGAAGTGGGGATGTAACAGGGAGAGTAAGACTCTCCTCTGTGAGGTAATATGGATTTACATTGTGTTGAAATGACCTTGGAAGGCACTCCAGCCTGAACCATTGATTCTCCAACATAGCCACTAAAGTGAAAACTACATATTTAAAAACTGACCTCTTTTTTTAGGATTCTTGCTCAACTCCAACACAAATTTCAGATTTGCTCAGCAGTCATCCTTAGAAGATGCAAATTCTAAACATCACTAAGAACTGCTTCCAAAACATTTCATTTCATCTCCCACATATACTACACCAATGTGGACTCACAGAGACTTCTTTCAGTCATTATATTTGGGATTTATCTAATTCTATTCAGGTTGGTTTTTGTCTATAAATTTACAATATATATCAAAAGATCTGAAATGCTATTCAGGCCAAGCTACGATAATTGCGCATTTACATGTATATTTACAAAAACCCCTGACTGCTAAAAACAGCCATGCTTGATTCACGTAAGGCTTATTTACTTATTTAACATTTCATCCAATTCTGAGTACAGAAGGAGTTTATTACTTTAGCTTTCATAACCCAGCATGCAGCTGTCACGTTTATTCCTCTAATACTGTGTGCACTGCTTATGTATAATATAACTTCAGCTGTAATTTGAACCTATGGTTATGTATTTTCAGAGCTTGACTGGAGTGGAGGCTCCAAAGACCTGTCTTTAAGCAGTTTTGTGTACAAATACATGCAAGTTAAATACACTTCATGCGTGTAAGATAGGCACCACTTGTCTACAAAAAGCAGATTTGTTACCTGGTGTGCAACAAGCAAATAATTTTACACTCAAGAGGGACACTGATTATTTATTTCTGAGTTGGACAAGCCAGAAATCAAACACGCCAAGTAGCAAAACTTTTTACTATTTATAGATTTTAGCAAACAATGGAGTTAGTGTTCATTTCCTACAAGTTACAGAGTTCTCTTATTAATTAGTATTCATCAGCTAATAATTCCATTGCTTCTCATGCTAATTAGCTGCATGCTCAAACTTTCTCTTCTTTTGGGTCTGGGGGTTTCTTAGCTCCATGGTCACCATCTGGCCCTGCAGGAATGACCTTTCACCCAGTCGGATTGTGCTGATTTAGCACAATCGGCTTTTTAGGTTTTTTGCTTATCTTGGGTGTTCTGCCAACTGTCCTTGAGGCATCCCTTTGTGTCCACTAGCAGTAGTACGTCCTTCTTCCCCAGCCTTGCTAACCTCCCCCGAGGCGTGAGATGAGTGAAACCTGTCCAGCCCTAGACCTTAACAGGGCAGCTCTACCAAGTGACTTGTCTAACACCTGGTCACCACTAAGAGCTTGCTAACCTTTCTCTGTTTCACGGTCTAATTCTCCCTTCTTGTCGATTTGATTTCAAATTATATAAAGATCTAAGAACACCCTTCTTAAGAAAAGTTTACATGTTTGGAATTTTGCAGCACCCTCACGCCTGTCCCTGGGGGAGAAATGCCTCAGCCCTGGGGCTCCCGCAGCGGCACAGTGCCCCGGCGGCTGTCCCTAGCGGATAACACGGGATATCCTGTGGGATACCCGGCTGGGTAAGGGACACAGTGCCCCGGCGGCTGTCCCTGGCGGATAACACGGGATATCCTGTGGGATACCCGGCTGGGTAAGGGACACAGTGCCCCGGCGGCTGTCCCTGGCGGATAACACGGGATATCCTGTGGGATACCCGGCTGGGTAAGGGGCACGGTGCCCCGGCGGCTGTCCCTGNCGGGAGCGGGTGAGGAGCCGGTGAGAGGAGCCGGTGAGAGGAGCCAGGGCGGGTGGGAAGGAAGGAGGGCAGTGAGGAGCAGAAGGGATAGATCTGCTTCTGCTCCGCCTTCCCGGTGGGACTCGGTGTGGGAACGAAACCCGCCGCAGGCTGAGCCGCCCCCTGGGCTGGGAGCACCCTCAGCCTCTCGCGTGGCGGAAGGAGCCCTTAAGCCGCGCTCGATGGAGGCCGGGGGTCGTCATTCCCCTTCAGCCAAGACATACCCGTGCTGGCCAGGGGGCTTGTAGGGCTTGAGGGGACGCAGAACCGTGCTCATGTCTTAAGTTCAGTCATTTTTGTACGTCGGTTTTTATGCTAGAGTGTGGAAAGGCTGCCAAGGGTAGGTGTTTTAGGACCCGTGAGTTGAGAGGAGTCCTAGTAAATCATGAAGTCCCGCCATGAAGTTTAACTTGTGCTCTTAACAGTTTTCCTCGGTCTCAGCTGAAAAGTGCTTTTTGCATCTTCCTGTTCTGGCTGGAGTCACACGTACAACCTTCCCCGGGCTGGAACATCCAGAATCCAAACTTTGGCTAATACTTATGCTTGCGTTATCATTGCCATTTATTCTAAACGAATTCGTTTTGTGAACACGTTGCTCTAAGCATCCATTCTCTTGTGAGCTCGTGAATGGGTTGGAGATGAGGACACCTATCTATAGCCAGTAGAGATGTAGGTTTTCATCCGGGGGCTGAAATGTGTTCGGTGAAAGTTGCCATTTGCAGAGGGGTGTGGGAAGCAGACAGGGCTGGCAGATACGGTGCTGTCAGCAGGCGATTTGTGCTTTCCCGGAGGGAAGTTTGCTTGGGACTGGCCTTGAAAAGCTGAAGTTCTTTATGGCTTTAGATGCATTTAGGACACAGCCAAGTCATGTTCTCATGTAGCCAGTGGAGCAAAAGGGCTAGCTTTTTTTTTTTTTGTTAAATTTGCACAATTTTTTCAGCCTTTTCTAGAACTTTTTTCCAAATTGTTTGTCCTTGGTTTTAGAAGCTTCCGTCATAATTTTTTTCTTTTCTTGATATACCTAGCTAATTTTTTAGAGGCCACCCTTAATCAAGCTACTTGGGCTTTTGTGTCTTCATTCCATTTTTAAATAGATATCTGAGATACAGTGGGGGGATGCACAGAGCCATTCAAAGCTGGTGAAATGGGCCAAGGCCATTTGTATGATTCTCTGTATAGGAAGTAGTTTGTTTAATACGATTAATATGATTGTGGAGGTTTTTTTGCTCCTGATAGCAGCATCACTTTGATTTTCTATACTTAATATGTGATTGATTTATAAATAAATAATATAAATAAACTTATTTTTTAAGTTACTTCAGACTTAGTTTCTTGGTATCTAACTGTAGTCCTTGTTGTGTGTGATGAGAATTGAATTACTTATATCATCATGGATATCCATTTTTTTCTTCATTAGTTCCACTTATTTTTCTGTTGATGATTCTACAATCACAGATTTTACCTCAGAAAACACTGAAGATAAAGTGTAAAAATAAAAGAAAAATTATTTTCTCAAAGCTATTTATGGAAATACTTACCAGAGATTGGTCCCAAAAGGAACTCTATTTTAAAGTATTTCCATAAATACTTTTGTGTTTGCAAACCTCCTTCTACCCCAGTAGCTCTCCTGTTGGTGTGATCCACTACTGCATTTTTCCTTCAGAACAGTTTGTTTTCCCTTTACCTTGCTATTTCTATTGCTATTGCTAACCTAATCTTTTCTCCTGTGCTGTTGTACTTACAACCAGTATAATGTATGTGTCGGTAAATACTTACATTTTAAATAGTTGAGAATGTTTTGTTTATTATCTTTGTCTTGATAACATACAGATAATCCTGTCAGTTGATGAGATATCTTTATTGCCTTAATGAAATTTCCAAACTTTCTTTTTGATTGCTATGTTATGTTTGACAAAGTCAGAATCCACAGGTTGAAGTTATTTCTCTGCGTGTTATCTGTATCACAACAGGTAAAAGTACATCTTACCAGCAGTTTTAGAAGTGCACACGAAGACTATCTTTGACTGTTTTTCTACATTCTGTCACTAAAATCCATCCCTCCCAGTGTTACAGCAGTCAAGACCTTTTTTTCCCTTGTCTAGTGCTTGTCTAAAAGGTAGATTGGCATTAATATTGCAGTTTTATGTATGGTTTGGACTTCTACTAGTTTTAAGGAGTATTTCCAGTCTTTACCATCAACTGGATTTTCTTCATATGCCTCTGAGGCTTCTTTCAAGATGGGGCTAGCATTCCTGTTAGCAGCCATAGGTCTATTACTTTGTCATCTTTCTCTTTCCTTGTGTCCTACCTCTTTCCTGTTGTTTGTAAATCCCTGTTTATTGACTGTTCAGGGAGGTGATGATCTGTGACTAATCTACTTTACTCATTTTTATTCTCTTGCTACTTTTTAATGTATATAAAATCAGAATTAAATGTGTAATTCCTCAGTTAACTAAACTAGGATAATTCTTTCTTGTATTGATTTACTCATATCCTGTATACCTTTCCATTTTGATTTTCTTTTTTGGATTTTGTCTGGTGTGGAAATGTCTGTATAGTGCCTTACATAGTTAAGTCCAGTTTTGCTGAAGTCTTTGAAGTCTGTCATATTTACGCCCTTATCTTGAGCTAGAGTATCTGTTTAGATTTTATGTCAATTCCCATTCCTTTTCCTTTTATATGTATGGAAGTAAATGATAATGAAAACTTTTTTCTTTTCCAGATCACTTCTTTCCTTGTCTCTGCACCTCAAAAGGGACATGCATGTTTAGGTGACTCACTACAGGAATATCAAAATGCCTAATCTTGACCATCCAGCATACCCAGCAGATGACCTGTTTCACTTGGAAAGTTTGGTGCCCTGTCGAGAATCCCAGGTGTCCATGTTGCTGTCAATATTTGGCGAGGTAGTGCTCTTTGTATTCCATGTTTGAACAGAACAAAGGCATTCCGCTGTCTCAGGCAGGAGAAGAGAAATCTAAGGGTGTTTTTGTGATGTCAATGTGAGCATGCTTTGTTTCCCTCTTTGTTGAAGTTTTATTTTTTGTTACCATCTTTAACATTAGTGTTTGGCAGTAGATTCTAGTATGTTGGTAGGTTGAAAGATGTATTACAGCTGGAAGGACCTAAACAAACTTTGGAGCTATTTGTGCCTTTGTCTCTCTGAAGCCTGATTTTGCCACAACTCTATGCTGTCTTTGCCAGTTAGTAGCAGGGAGTAAGTCTCTTCCTCCTAGACCTAAAGTTCTAAATGTCTAAATATGACAGATGTCTAAATTTCTTTCAACTAAAAAAGTAATTTTTTTCAGTGTCAGTGTAGAAATTCTGTTTGGTTTTGACCTGTTAATCTAATATCTGAGTGCCTGAATTCTAAGTACATTAAATTGTTCTTAGTAGTTTTGAGGCTGGTTGTAAGAGTGAGAAATCACTGGCTTGTTAATTGATTCTGTTACTGCTTCACAAAGCTGTGGTAAAAGGTAATGCAGATTTTTATCTGCAAACTTTAAAGCAGTTTTCTTGCAGAATGTCTGTATCCATTCAGTAATAAACTGAAAATTAGTATCTGTTTTCTGTCTTTAATTATGGATACTAATAATATCAATAATATCAAATTGCTTGATACTAATAGTATCAAATTACAGTATTCAAGTTTTATGTATGTTACAAGCCTAGTGGCAAAAAACTCTTCATAAAAATAGATACTTCAATTATTGATCAATTTGCATATACTCAAGTCTGCATGTCTTGCACAAGAGTGTTTCATCTTGCATAAATTGACTATTGTTTATCCTTAAAAGTGTCAATTAAATTTTTGTATTAATTTTTGAGTCAGTATACAAAATTCTTAGACATGAAAACACAACCCAGTGTGAAAATGTGCTCAGAGTGGAAAAAAAATAATAATTCAGCTATTTTCCTTGGATCTTAAAAAAATTTCATTAAATGAACAGCATCAGGACCATTAAATAAATAGATACATCAAATATTATCTTGTGAAAGAAGAGCAAGTTTTACCATCTCCTTCTTCATACCATTTAATTATTTTTTCTTTGGTGCTAATGAAAAGAAACACAATTTGTAGTGTTTGCAGAAGCTAGGGGAATGTATGGTTTACAATTTGTGCTTGCCAAGATTTTGTTTCAGTTAGTTGACTAATTTGAATTAAGAGCCCACTGCTTTTCTCTCTGTGTGTGTTTTTGTTGTTTGTTATAGCATTTTCACTGGCAGTAATGTGATACTTGATTCTTGCAACTTCCCAGCACTTCAGCAAAGGTGTAATGTAAAACTTGATCTTGTTGATTCCATAATAATTGGTGTATTTTATATTTACTGCCTCAATTTAAAATACAACTTTTCTTCTGGGGGAAAGGTCATTGTTAAATCTTTCATCTGTTGAATGAAAAGAAGAACTCATACAGCAACAACTTTTTTTTTCTCCCCTTAGCGTCAGCAGTTTAGTTTTCCATCCATCTTTATCTATGGACATACATCTAGTGGAAAGACTTATGTGATGCAAACTCTTCTAACTACCTTACAGGTAAGAATGGTCACAAAGGATATTGAATTTACAATTTATAACCATGGTTCCTCAAAATAGCCTTTACTTTCTCAAAATGATGTGTTTTCTCAGTCATTTCTGCCTTCCTGATTCTTCTCCACTTACTGTGTCATGAATGCATCACTCTGCTCACTAGGACGCTTAGGATAAAATGAAATTGTATATACTGACATATAATATAAATCATAACAACTTTTTTGAGAAAGTTGAAAAAAGATAAAAAAGGAGGCAGATATTGTTCACCTTGTCTCCATGACTTAGCCTGAAGTAGTTCCACTGATTCCTTGTTTTAATTTTTTCCAAAAAACGTTTCAAAGTCCTCCTAAGTTGAAGGGTGTCATTACAAAAGTTTCCATCTAGATCTGTTAGTATCTCTGTTTTTGTCAGTCATGCAGTTCAGGGATTTAAATCCAATAACAGGTGCCCATTTTGTGCCTAAACTGTAAATTTCCACTTGTGTGTTTCTATAGCCCTGATACTTTTAACTTGTCCAGAGTGAGCTTATCACTTTATCTGCAGGATCAGCAGGTTTTATACAGAAAGCCCATTCATTAAAAATTCTGCAGAGGGAGAAGGGTAGAATGCAGGGGTTTATGATCCTCCTCCATGAAGTAGCCTTTTGTGCCTTGCTCACAGCACTGTGCTGACCGCTCACACCGTGAGCGAAGATGTGGCAGGCCCTGGGACGTGGCTGGTTTTAGCAGCAGCTCCCTACAGAGTTTCCTTGTGCCAAGTCTGGTGTCTGCTCTGTACTGTGCTGGTGTGAATCACATCTGAGGCACCCAGCTTTCCATCTGCTAGGGAGGTACAGCACTACCTGCTTTTTGGTGATGTAGCCCTTACCTTTTAGTGGTGCTCAAAATCATAGAAAAGCTTTTTATTATATGCTGTGTGAGTGGATTGCCAACATGTACCCACCCTTCCCCACATCTGCTGAATCATACTGTATTTTAAGTAGAAGATTGGAATGAAGTACTTGGATTATTTTTATTTTTATTTTTTTTTGTTATAGACAACCACATTCCTGCATACCAGTGACTAATGTTTTCCAGAGGTTTTAATGTTTTGTGTGAAAAAGAGCATCTGCCTTACCAGAGATTATGGAGTTGTGCAGATAAGCTATGCCTTAAATATAAGGTTGCTAGAAAATTTTCTTTTTTTTTCCTAGGTAGGTTTGACTACTGGTACTATTTTATAGGTTATAGTGCCTTCTATTTAAAGACAAATGACAGTAGATTTTCAATATTAATGAATTGATACTTAAAATGTATCTCATACTCTGTTTTTTTTTTATTCACTCTTTACTTTGGAAAGATCTGATATTCTGAAAATGTCTTGCACAATCATGCTGATCCCATGAGCCTGATATAGAAGCTTACACTTGATCATTTGTGTGCATTGAATGCCAGAAACGTTCACAGTAATTCTGGGGAGTGTGCTGGGGTGATTACTTTCTCTGTAATGTAAGTTTGAGATGTCTGTGTTTTCTAGGCACTGTAATTCTTAATAAACCATTTTATGATACTGTAATGTCTTACAGTTGTCTAAACTTTTTTGAACTAAATGCTGTTTGGTTTTCTTGTGTATTGCTCACAATTTTTCAACATAGTTGAAGGATACGTTGTGCTTCAGTTTTTAAACACAATTAGAAGGTATATGTCCATTTGAAGATGTATCTGCTCTCTCTCTTCAGTTTGTGATACATAATATTTTGACTAGGTACATAATTGATCTTTTTTTTTTTAACAAGTGTTTTTGGTTCTTGCTGTATATTCTGTTGGCAGGGTATGGTTTCTTTCATTCTCTCATACAGAAGAGAAAACTTTTTCTGGAGTATTTACACTGGAAAAAGTCAAATGCAGTTGTATAATTTTTCTTGTTCTCTTGTTCTCTTCAGCTTCCTCATGTGTTTGTGAACTGTGTGGAATACTTTACATCACGACTTCTTCTAGAAGAAATTCTCATCCAGTTGCAAAACCGTTCTCCTGGCACAGAGCAGACCTCTCCTGTGCATTGTGATACGTTGAATGACTTTGTTCGTCTGTTTAAACAGGCTGTGGCCAGCCAGAAGCTTCAAGATGAAACATTATACATTGTAAGTAATTTCATTTTAATGTCCAGTCTCATTCCTGCTAAGAGGGTGTGAGTAATGACTATTGATAATTAGTATGTGAAATGTGTGCCTTATAGAGCAGTTTGCACAAAATTTCTCCATAGATCTCATTCAGAACCTGTTGTGAGGTTTTTTCTGTTGGCTTACAGGCTTTAGGTGAGGTTCTCTATTTTTCCTGGTTTTAGAATTTTTTGCTATACACAAAATTTGTATAACATAACTAATAATGAACATAAATTATACCACACATTTCAACTGAGGATGTAATAGTGTTACAAAGTCCTTAAAATAGAGAAACTGTATTTGTTTTATTATTCTTAAGTCATGCTTATTTGTTTCCTAGCATCACAAATGAGAAAGGGGTAGGGAATAGGGCAGAAGGGAATATGGAGAATGCAAATGGCAAGGCTTGGATGTCTAGAATAGATCTTAAGTGTAATATTAAGGAATTAAAGTGCATAACTTCCTCTGTAAAATCTTACATCTTCCGCTAGACTTGTGACCCTCAGAGACAGGACCTGTAATTTTAAAATTAAGATGGAAAAAAAAAGGCTGCAATGAAAAAAGTGATGATATGCTCAAGTGGAATAAACAGCAGATTGCAGGAAAAAATAATCAGAATTTAGGTTGCAGGAATAATTGAATCAGTGTAATACTAGAACACTAGGATTTCGTTTAGGTCTTTGTAGTTTTTTTTCTGTGATAATCTTAACTTCACAAAGGAGTCAAAATTTGCAGACTAAAACAGCATTATTGTGCTGAGAGATGACCATGGAAACAAATTCCATTCATACAAGAGGTCTGATGGAAGGACAATATGAAAACTGTAGTATTAGTGATGTGTGAATGTATATATATAGTGTGGACCTACAGAATATGTAGACTAAATTTCAGGCCAGCAGTGGGAATTAAGGTTTTTTTAAAAAGAGATGAAACTGATTATTTAAGAAAATGAGAATGTGGTTAAGACTGATTGCTTTGAGAAACATGCAGAGTGATTACCCAGGGTCATTATGCTCTCAATGTCCCCATACTGCTTTGGGTTTTTTTTTTCAGTCAAACAAGCAGTTCATAATTATACTGAACATTCTTCATTCTGTTTCACATACTGCAGTTAAATACGTTTTATTCCTATTTGAAAGTACTTTGCCACTGAGATGAATAACTTCATATCATGTTTAGTGGAAACAGTACTATCTCATAGTTTCCTATAGGTCACAAGGTTAATAAATTTGACATACTTCTTAGAAGTAGAATGAAGAAAATAATGTACCAACACTTAAAAAGATAAAAACAGATAAAAAGTTATAAATAGAGAAGTCGTTTAGCTTACTGTCACAAAAGTGATATTGATATTCTTCAACAGTTCCATAGGCACAAAATTTATCTCTCTAATAATCTTTAGTATATTTCACATAATACTTCTTACAGTAAAATCTTACTTTTGGATTAGTATTTGGATTAAAATCTATTCATTAAAGAATTATTCTTGTATTCTATGAAAATTGACACCACTCAGAAAAGTAGAAAGTTCTTGAGCAATGGTTGTAGAAAATAAAACATTAAGTCACTACAGAGGTTCAATTGTATCATGAAAATAGTTGTTGCCTCAGAAGAATTAAATATTAAATTAGTATTTCAGTTAAATTCTGTATGGAAACAGACAGGAATGGGAAAAATCAATTAATGTTTGTTAACCGATGTTATCTGGATTTATTATAGAGTGGTTAAAATTGAGACTGATGGGAGACCAGCATGCTGGTAACATAAACTGGCAATGCTAACGTACTCTATTTCATTTCAGTAGTAAATAATGTAATATTTCAGCTCAATTAACTCAGAGTAAATGAAGATAAATGTTTACTTTCAAGCAAAGAATTCTAAATGGTTCTCTTAACCAAGCATAGGTGCTAAATGCTTGTGATTATTTATGAAAAATGAATTTATTCATTTTAACTACCTTAAAAATTTGGAGTAGATATAACTTGTAGTCATTCATACATTTACAATATTTAGTACTTTACAGAACTATCAAGCTACTTTTTTGAATGTGAGCTGTTAGTTTTTTAAAGTATAGGCTTTTTTAAAAAGTTGAAGAGTGTCAAGTCTACATGGATACCAAAGAGTAATGCATAGATTTACAGACCTGGGGGAAGGCTGTTTCTATGAACCATTTGACACTTTCAACAAAACAGGATCATGGTGTATTTTTTTCTGCTGTAAGTAAAAACTGTAGATTCCCATTTACTAGATAGTGTGATCTGCTTAGGTCAAGACCTTAAAGCTTTGTGTTTAGTAACTTCATGGCACTTGGTCCAATAAGCAGTGTTCTTTTAGTAAAAATAGCCTCTCTTTGGTCTGTAGTATAAAGCAGTCTTCATTCCTGAAGTCACTTAATACATGAACCAAATGCAGATATCAATATAAAATCATATGTTGTAGTTTTAAATAAATTCCCAAAAAGTGTGAGATAGTGATGTAGAGATAGTTCTTTTAGGTTTGAGTGGTGGGATTCTGAAATAATATTTTCAGAAAATGTTTGGTTGTACACATAGAATTCTTTGCTTTATTGTGGACAACAGGAATGAGAGATGTCATAAGATTTTGGTGGAGAGAAGATATGTAATAGGATAAAAAACATAATTTTCTAGGAACCTGTAGTTTTTATCTCAACAGCAATAATTCAAAAGAAGTAATGAACTTCAGAATTTAGATTTATATTGCAAGTAGTAAATAGGCCACAAAAGAAACGTGTTTCTATTATCTTCTTTCATTCCTGTCAAGATTTTAGGTGTGCTGGGAATAAAAAAAAATTTTTTACCAAAGGATAACCATGCATGTGTTCATACTTTTGTTTCATTTCTTCAGACTCTAAAATGTTATTTGCTTAAGATGTTTCTTGTTTAAGCTGTCCATATGCTACATATCTGTTACTGCTATGTGAGGCTTGCATAAAATAAATCCTGTAAGTTCCTAGGCTGCAAACTATGGCAAGAAAAGTTTCTCTCAAAAATTCAGTTCAGTGAATTCTAGATGATAGCTAAATTTTTTTAAAACACCAGTTCTTATTTGTGTTCTTATCTGAAAAATAATTTCATAGTAGGAAAATATAACTCTCCTAGAGTATACATGTAGTTAACAGCGCTACTGTACTACATGTACATTTGAAACAAGAAGAATTTTGGGAGAAAAATTGAGGTTTCAATGGTTGTTAAGGATATCATGATTTTGTTGTTATATTTCTGACTGGACTTGAATAATAATTCTTCCTGCCATAATGCATGTTAGTGTTGCTTGTCTAGGGATTGTATGGTTTTTTAGATGCAGAGCTGCTTGGGCTTCCTGGAAGTGTGTTGGAAGCAATAATCTCTCCAATTCAGTTTCCAGCAACTAAGAATTAATTTTAAGTCCATGTGAGAGTGGGAATTGACTTTTGTTTATATAATATCATTGTTTTGTTAAAAGGTTCTGGATAGAGCAGAGCAGCTGAGGGAAATGGAAGCAAACATCCTGCCAGCATTTCTTAGGCTTCAGGAGTTGGTAAGTGTCTGGAAAGAAAATAACATGTGTCCTGGCTGTTGAAAGTAACTGAACATGTGGTACCTGTACATCCAGGCTCACAGATCAAGATATGATTCTTTAGATGAGAAAAGTTGCAAAATTAAGCCTCGTTACCCCAAAACAGTGGTCAAAACCAGAAACCAAACTAGAATTTAAACATTAGGTTTTAATTAAACCCTTTTTTAAAAACAAATTGTGGTTAATGGTATATTATTTACAATATCTGATGTGTTGTAGATTCTTTGGAGGCTTGTTTCAGATATATATCTGTCTTTTCTAGATTGTCTTTTTAAGAATGAGATTTTCAGGAGACTACCAGCTGTTTAATTTGGCTGGAGCTGCACAGCTCAGCAGCTGTGAATGTGCTTTGACTTGCTAGAGAATTTTCTCACGCTTCTCCTGGAACTGTGCTTCAGTAAGTTTCTAATTGGAGTAAACCACTGTGTGCTTTCCTTTCTCACTTCTGAAGCATCAAAGCTTTTGAAATAAGGAAAAATGGTACATTCCCTGAAAAGAAACTGAAGACAAAACCAGAAGTTGCTGGTACTTTGAAATGTCTGAATATGTAAATAGCTGAAATTATACTTGTTCTTTCAAAGCTTTTATGTGGTGCTCTTAATCTTCTGGTCACATTGATTTCTCTACTAAATGAAGACTGATTCACAGCTGTGTTCTTAATCATGACAGCTGGTGCATTTTCTGTCTCTTTTTATCTGTTCTGCCCATGTTCTGGACTGGGCTGCTCCTGAAGCATAAACAACCAGTTCTGCAGAGAAGGGAGGCAAACTTGGGTCTATAATTGCTATATAAAGAGATATATATGGGGATCAGGGATCAAAACCCCATAGACTAAGGCTTATATGTGCTAGAGGAACACCCCCAGATTCAAACCTAACCTCCAGACAAATCTGTTGTCTTGAGTGCTGATATTCCAGTTGCTTAAATTCTGAATTCTGGACTGAGGCTTTCTAAAGGAGTTGTGCAGCCAAATGTTTTAGAGCAATGTTGTAGGAGCAAATCTCTTGCATCTCTTCCTCTCCTGGAGTGGAAGGAGACCAGGAACACCACTAGTAGTAGTGAAGGATATCATGGGACTGGCGGGTTGCTGCTGAAGAATAGGTCACAGATGCTTGATGTCTCTGAGGATTGTGGTAGCAAATACTAAATTTCTTCATACTGGATGATCAGTCAGGAAGTGAACTGAACATATTTTAGTACTTCTGTCAGCTGAAACATTAGGAGTTCTGGGAGAGGAATCCAACTAAAAGAAATGCAGAAAGTTTCTTGTTGAAAGGGAAAAAATATTTATGATCCATAAAAATGAAGAAGAAACAGTAAAGAATATGAGTGGATGCGACTTCACCAAGTGGGAAAAGTAAGTAAAAAAAGAAGATTATCACTACATTTCAGGGAAGGAAATAGCATTTAAGTGTCTTTCAAGTCATTCAGAGCACTGTCAATTCAATCAGATTCTTTTTGTTTTATGGAGGTGCCATAATAGTTTTCAGAGGTCTTGAAGAACCGTGTTTAAAAACATCTTATGTTAGGCAGAATTTTTAGTATGGCTGCAAAAACCTTGCAAAGAGGGAGAATGACACATCATCTTAACAGATAGTTTTAGCTTCATATTAAGTAGCTAATATTTTGAAGAGTGACCTAAATAAAACAATATTGTTTTTAATATGAAGCATTTTTTTACATATTGATCAAAACATGCAATCTGAAGCAGGTATTTTGTCAATAAAAACTTGGTTGCAAAAATATATTACTATGAGCAGCCCCATTGTTATTAACTAGGAAAACATTTGGGAGGGTAAACAGATAATACTACATTTTTGGTTTGGGATGTGTGTGTGTTTTTTTAAAGACCAGATTGCCGTTAAAATGAAGTACAAGATAGCTTGGTTCCAGAGGTGCTGAGATTTCTTTTTGCTTTTTAACTTTTTCTGTTTGCTCTGAAAGTCTGTGTTTAATTACTAGTGTAAAATGTTCTCTTAATTTTGGGGTGGAATCTACTTGGTATTGTGTATCACCCCACAAAGCTTACATGAAAGTAAAATGATGAGGGTTGGGGAGAAATATCATATAATTATGAAGATTTGCAAATGTATGAGCTGCTTGATTAGGCCAGCTGAAGCTTTAATGCAAGTTACTAGCATAGTAATAAACTGTAAATTTAATGATTTTTGTGAAACAGAAAAGTCACAATAATTATTTTTCTTGTTGATGCTCTAACATGCACTGGTTTTTTGTTATTTCTCTGCCTGTCGCTCTCTCATTCAGTTTTTTCTCTTCCCTGTGTAGACTGACAGAAATGTGACAGTTGTTCTGCTCAGTGAAATAGTGTGGGAACTGTTCCGTCCAAACATTGGGTGCTTTGAGCCATTCACCATGTATTTTCCGGATTACAGCATAGGTAAACTAAATTTCCAATCTGCTTTTTGGGGATTGTGTAATGCTTTGTCAAAAGTTTTTTTCAGGTTTATCAGTGTGCCTTTTACAGAACCCAGAGTATGTTATAGCTACTGGGATGTAAAAGTCTGTTCACACAACCTGTAAAGGTCTTGTCTTTTTCCACATGTCAGAACATCTCAAAGTAATGTTTTGATTCCATTACATTTGCTGGTTCTTCAAATCAATGTAGGTTTTGGTGGATTTTGTTGGGTTTTTTTTTAGTGATGGTTATTTGTTTTTCCATAAATATGGTTGCTTTATTAAGTTGGCTTGAAAACAGAAAAATTTATTTTTGTTTAAACAGGACATCTGCAGAAGATCTTGTCTCAGAATCATCCCCCAGAATATTCTGCAGATTTCTATGCTGCATATATCAATATTTTGCTTGGTGTCTTCTACATGGTCTGTAGGGACCTGAAAGAACTTCAGCATCTGGTGAGATGAGTTTTTTTAAAGTTACTATTTTGTTCTGGGATGTATTTTGCCAAATGAAAGTCTAGATTTATTGTTGCTCTGAAAGTCTAGGTTGGTTGTTAAATATGGACAAAGAGAAAATCAGAGATTGTAGAATGGTTTGGTTGGAAGGGGCCTTAAAGGTCTAGTTCCAACACCTGCCATGGGTAGGGACAACTTTCACTAGACCAGCTTGCTCAAAGCCTCAACCAGCCTAGCCTTGAACACTTCCAGGGATGGGACATCCACAGCTTCTCTGAGCAGCCTGTTCCAGTGTTTCACCACCTTCATGGTAAAAAAGACTTCCTTATATCTAGTGTAAATTTGCTTTCCTGAGAATGTGTTAGTAAAATGTAGTTGCCCTAAAAATCCATAACAGAGATGGCAGTTGTTTTGGTGGCTGTAAAGGGCCTCCAGTATTGTGTAGTTTTCTGGTAATAAATTTAAAGTATTTGGAAAAAGGTGTTTTAACCATGTAATGTAATAGTAAACAAACTTAACAGAAGAAGATTAAGTTACTTGATGGTGACATTTGCGTAAGCTTAATAACAATTACAAACATTATCTAATCCAATTATTATTTAATTAAATATAGTGTGTACAAGGAAATTTTATAGGTTTGACGTGATCAGTGAACAAATTGGTGCTCAAGAGATGATCTGCATGTTCTGCCTGTGTTTCCCTCAGGAACGTGCTGCTAAATTTCAGCTGAACTTCTTTCTTAACCATACAGGTTTTATATGTAAATCAGATTGCTGGAGACAGAAATAGAAACCAGGGTCACAGTTCTTGCAGACACGTGCTTGAGTGGCTCTGCTTGTGAGAATTTCATTAGCTTTAGATGCACTATTTTCTTGTGCAACACTACAAAAATACTAATGTAATTAGACCCTAAATTCTTTATGTGGTTGACAAGTCTCTTCTATAGAAGATAGTGGCAGATACAGATAACTGCGGACATCTGAACTCCTTAGTGTCTAGTACAGACTCTAAATGTGTATGCTTTTATGTGTAATTATTATTAGTACATTCTGGAATTTTATTAGATTTATATATGGAAGTTACACTTTGAGCTTTGTGTATTAGCAGAGAGATATGTTTAAAGTGCAATAGGACAAAAAGAGAATGAACTCTGAGGATTGGTATTTTACAAAATTCTGTGTGATATTGATTTAAACATTTTTGAAGAAAGTCTAGATTCTTGTCTTGTCAAAAATCTCTTAATCTTACTTTAGGCAAAAGGAATTCATTTGTTTATGGAATAATTATGGAATATATTAGAATATTTTTAAAATAAATAATTTTTGAAAAAAAAAAAAATTAGTTTCTGCCTAACTATGTTGAACTTCTCCTGGAATGGAAAGTTTATCTGAAAATGAAGAGAGTATGAAAAGTTCATGAAAACATTTTTATTGCATTTATAATGATAAATTATTATGTTAATTTAAAAAAATGCAACCCCAGAGTACAATAAACAGATCTTGCTGAGCTTAAAGCTATGTAACCTGCAGTAGATTACTTCTGTTTGTATTTTATGGTACAGGAATGTTGCCATGTTTGACAGTATGATGTTCATAAGCAAGTGGCATCATTATTGACTGAAAAAGGGTTTGCTGGCTTTGCAAAGGAATAAATTACCCTGCTAGTTATACTCTGTAGCTGGATCAGATAGATAGTACTTTAATATGTTCTGTTTTTGCTTTCTGTAGGCTGCACTCAATTTTGCTAAATACTGTGAACCAGTGGTCAGAGGGGAAGGTAAGGCTGTGTCTTTAATTTGAGTGGGTGTATGAGAGAGTAGGTGCTGTTCAGTGGGTTTTGGTGAAGACTTGGCTCTGATCCTTATGCTGTGGTGGCACAGTGATATCTCAGGTCACAACAGCATTGCTTACTCCAGTTGTACCCTGTCATTATTTCTTTGTCAAGGCAAGGGGAAAAAAGAAACCAAGAGGAGAGGCACTATCAAACTGGTGCAGATTATCTCAGAACAGATAGAGAAACAGCCTTGTGTGGCAGCACGTGCTTGCTGGATGGATGGTGACGGTGCATCATCCTAAAGCAGCATGTCAGAGTCAGGGTGTTAGACCGTGTCATGCCTGCGACTGTTCAGGTGCCAGGGATGAGTTTTAGTCTTCTAAGAGTTAAATGTTTAACAGTTGATTCTGGCTTGCTGCAGCAAATGAACGTGACACCCGCAAACTCTGGAAAAATATCGAACCTCATTTGAAGAAGGCAATGCAGACTGTTTATCTTCGGGAAATATCCAGGTAATTTGGAGGGCATAGGCTGGCTTGCTTTGTTGAGGTTGTATTTTTAACAACCTTCCTCTCACTGTGCTTCATGGCTAGTGTTTCTTTTTTGCTAGATGTAATCTTTTTTCTTTAATGTGCATTTCTTTCTTGCCATACTCTGTAAGAAATAGTGTATCTCAGGAGGAAATTTAAACAAAATGGTATTTGTAGTATATAATAGATTCAATAAGTAAGGCAGTGGCAGCAGGTTTTGTTCTCCTCACTGATGCTAGCTCCATTTTCTTTAATGTATGAATCTACCAAGCATTGTAATCCATCACCATAATATACAGACACCGTTTAAAACACACTGCTGTGTTTGTTAGCTCGCCAGATACTCACTGTACCAAGGATGTTTGCAAGCCTCAAAATTCCCGAGACATTACAGATTTTGAGTATCTGTGTTTCTTAGCTTTGTTTGATAGAGCTAGGTTCGTTTGCTGACTGTGCTTTCCGATCCCTTATTTTCTTTACCAAAGGCAATATTTTTATTTGGAATTGCCATTTTTGTTGGCATTAAAATCTGGTGTCCTATTAATGGCTATTTTTCTTGGTATTGTTTTAGCTTCCTTTTTTATTTTGTAAGCTACCAGACTGCTGGAAGAAAGGATGGTGGTGTTCATTCACAGTGGTAGTAATTGGCTTAGGTTTAATGTTCTCTCCACCTTTAAGAGGGTGATTCTGATATTACGCTGTCTAAAGAGAGATCATTCAGTATAGCTTTGTTTCTTTATCTTGGTAGAAACATACTGATTTCTTTCCTTTGAATGTCATTGAGGCTATAGAGTATTCTGGTCACAACCTGAGTGTGTAGTAGAAGTCTTTGCTAATGTTATAGAGATATGATCATTCCTTCAAAAAGATAATTGATTTTGCTTTGTACAAGTTAGTCTTCACTGTACAATGCAGCATTTTTCTATTTGGCTCAAATATTTATTCAGTATTGATCTTCATTACACAGTCTACTCAGGATCTTCCTGACTTTTTATATTGTGTAATTGCCTACTCTAATTAGGTTGTAATAAAAGATTATGATAGAAAATAGCTTGTGAATTGTTTCCAAATAAGTAATTTCCCTTTACAGTTTTCTTTGATTATAAATTTGAGCTTGACTTGATTTTTATTAGAAATTCCATTTCTAGGATTTAACTCTGTGTACCAGTAAATGCTTGAGGAATTAAAATCGCTATATCAGTTTTTCTGCCCATGGAACTATGATACTTTGCTTTTCTGTTGACTGTGTAATTTGTAGCAATAGAATTTTGCTATCAGCTTTTGCTCAACCCGAACTGAAAGGAAAATGAATCTTTTTTTCTTTTGCCTGTAAAATAAAAAATGGTTAAAACCTTAGCTCATTGATGAGTTGTTCTGTCTTCATTGTAATTTAAGTACTACCTGAGCTTCCATTGCACTGTTTTTATGAGTTTTATGGCTTATGGCTGATAAACTGTTACGAGGAACTTTACAAAACAAGCCAAGACAACATTAAGCAAACCTGTCTTTTTGTAATCCCCTTGTGGTACACAAAATGATCCAAAATATGCTAGCAGTGTCATTCCTTAAAGGAAGTTTTCAAGTGATTTCTTTTTTATATTGTTTAGGAAAACACCAAAGTACTTGGGGGCATTTTTGTCTGACAGAATAATCCATCTTGATGACTTCCATTGACTTCAGAATTGCATTATGAAGTAATTATAGTATTCTTCTCACAAACATAAACAGTTATTAAGCAGATTAAAAAGAAAACTATCAGTGTTTTTCTCTTTATGCAATTCTTCATTATTCTTGAAAGTTGGAACACTGGATATTTGCTTACTCATGGTGGTTGGATGGGAAGAAATAGTATTTTGCAATTAGGTCTTTTATACCTTAATCCAACACTATTTTTTGCTTTTTTTATCAAATACATAGTCTGCAGATTATTAAAATTTATGTGTGAGATAGTAATACAAGTAATAAAGACCTTGTATTTTTAATTATTCTCTCACTAACTGTATCCTAGACAGTGTTACAAAATTAGAGTATAACAAGCAGGTAGCTTTCTCTAAAAGACTGTCAAATGCTACATCTTTATGTATTTGCATTATCTGTCTTTCAGCTCACAGTGGGAGCGTTTGCAGCATGATGGTGGAGAGCCTGGGCAGTTGAAAGGTATCAAACACAATAACTGTGTAGGAGCTTGTAATGTGAAATGTGCTTTTCAGTTCGACTTGATCATTGTCATCTGAGAACATGTAAATAAAGCTACACAGACAAGGCTACCTGTTAGTTTTCAGTTAGCAAAATCATGTTTTTTTGAGGTGCTCTACAAAGAATATTTTCCCCCTCTTATATATACTGGAAGTAACCTTTCCTAATATCCTTTGCAGGTAAAAACAATCTTCTTTACATCAGTATTTCTTATGTCAGAATGGGTGAGGAGTAGCCTGATGGTCAAACTTCTCTGTGCTGACTGGTAGAATTGTCCAAGTGGGGAGAAGGGAATGTTAGACCTGGTGTATTGCACTGAATTAGCACATTCCTAAACAAAACATCTGTCTTTGGTCCAGATATCTTGAAAAGAGAAATGTCAGAACTGCAGGTGTTCTCTCTGTTTTTTCCTTGGACAAGTAGAGCTTTGTTGGTTTTATACTTAGACAGGCTGGAAAGTCAAATCTCAATGTATTTGTCAGCCTTCATTTTCAATTTAGGAAGGAATACCAAAATAGTTTCCTGGTGGTGTCAGTTGGTCATGAACTTTTTTAGTTTTTAGTTTGGGAACACATTTTGTATTATTTGTCATGACAAATAATTTCTTGAGGTAAATGCAATCCTCAGACTGTTTCCTGTGTTTGGTTTATAATTGGTGAATTTTCAACATGTTTGACCAAAGGAGTTTGATTCAAAGTGTTCTTACTAAACTCTCTCCCAGATGATATTTTGCACTTGACAACTCCATGAAGGGATTCATTTTAAATGCATTTTGATAGGTATATGTAGTAGAAAAAAAGTCTTGTTTTTAAAACAGCATTTTATAGCAACATGGTTAAACAGAAGTCCTAAATTTCTAACTGTAATAAAGGTGTAAATCATCAAATAGTTCAGTGTGTGATGCAATATTGGCAGACCAGAAGAATGGAGAAAAAACAGATGTTTTTGTATTGAACTAAATTGTCTGTCTGCAAGAGTTTATTTGGTGTTGCATTTTATAAATAGCATGCAGTACAAGAGAATATTTTAATTGTAAATTAAACTAAACCTGCTGTTCTTCTCTGCTTACATGAGAGGAAGTCATTGCTAGCAGTCATCTAGGATTGCTTTTCTATATACTGTGGACCCTGAATCATAACTTTTAAACATGTTTAATTCTTTGGTCTTTATTTGCTGATATTTGTGGATTAGAATATAAAGGTACAGGTGCTTCACAGAGCAAGAAACTGTAGAAGTAAAAAATTGTAAGCAGAGAGGGCATGAGAGGGACCTTTTGATGGTGTCTGTAATTAGCCAGCTGATGAAGGGTGGTTTGATGATCCTATTCTTATACATAACCATGTAAAACAAGAGCAGGGAACTGTAAAGGTAAAAAAAAATACAAAGTAAAAATACTTTGAGTTTCCTTCAAAAAGTGTGGAAGCAAATATTCACCAGACTGTAGTTCTTGTGGGTTTTAGTATGTATGTTTAATCTTAATTAAGTATACATGTATACAAGGAGGCAAAGTCAACTGGATGAAGTTTAAAATTTTAAAAACGTTTTCTGTAGGAAATGGAATAGTGGCTCAAAAGCATTTATCACAGATGAACTATTTATTGGAAGTGCAGAACTGCTGCTTCCTTTACCATGCCAGCCTTGTTCCTGAAGAAGCTGTTTAGTGGGCTGTAGCAATCTAAAGGTTGAATCTTAAAAAAAAATTGCCATTGTATTTACACATCTCCCTTCATCTGCCTTTTTTGTCAGGAAAATTCCCTTAAATGAAAGTAGCCTGGAATTATTTATACCTTTTTTCAGGAAGATTTAGGAATCTCTGATGCTTCAAGTGCAGTTGCTGAGAGTCTGAAAAGGATTCAGGATGTTACCTTTGTTTAGCTTTGTGCTGTGCTCCTTGGCCCTTCCCCAAGTTTGTATCTGTGATAATTAGGCTGAGAAAGTCTTACTCATTTAGTTACAGCACTAGAGCAGGAGAGAAGTTATTTGGTTAACTCATAAACTGTTTGTTTATTTTACAGGACTTTCTGCACATACCCATGTGGAACTTCCTTATTACTCCAAATTTCTTCTAATAGCTGCTTACATTGCCTCCTACAATCCTGTTAGGACAGATAAGAGATTCTTTCTTAAGGTAACAAAATTAATTTCTTAGTGCTGTTAACTGAATTCCTGCATATTGAATTTCCTGGTTTAAAACTGTTCAACTTTTTTTGTTTTGAGCTCTGTTTCTGTGTGCACTTTCTTTGATTTGATGAGCAGGTTTTCTGTAGATCACATACTTTGATGGTAATGATCACAGAGTGATTTAAATGTCCAATAAACCAAACTTCTTCATGTCAAATTATATATAAAGCTGTTACAGCATGAGCCCTGTGCTTTGCTTTTCCAAGTTGATACAGCTTTGTTTTAAAAGCCTTTTAATGGAGTGACCACTCCATTATAACAGTGTCCTTAGTTATAAGCCAAACTTAGATTTCCAGAGTAAAGTACAAGCCACAACTGCCCTGGCCTTTAATGTGGTAAAATGACTTAGTGCACTGTTAGGTTTTTATAGAGTTCTAGGTTTTTGAAACAAAAGCATACAAACAGTTGCTTTTGCGGATGTGGTTACATTAGCTGGTATGTGTTGTGTTGAAATGGTGGTAATGCACGTTTTAGGATGAATGTATTAGTCATTGCTACCAGCTCCTGGGCTAAACATCATTTTCTGTAAGTTCTTGCTATGTACATGTTGACTGTTTTGTTTCTTCTTTTTACCTGTGAGATAAGTTGTGGTCATCCTGCAGACAAGTGCTGTGGTGCCATTGGTTGTTGTTGTGTGTCTCTTCCTGACCCGGGATCTTCAAGCTCCTCAAGCCTGACTCATTGCCTCATTTTGAGTTATTTGACAAAATGTAGGTGGGAGGACAGGTATCAGAAAAGTGATCAGGCAGTTGGGCTTTTTGTGCATTTTGCCAACTACAATACTACAGTATGTATTGATATATGCATGTGTGTATAAATATATGGTATTCATGATGGATGGATGTAAGCAATTAAAGAAAATGAGGGCAAGACAAATTTGTAAAAATATTAATCCCACTTCAAAAGGATGTATAACAGATACATATTTTGAGAAGTTACTGCTGTTTCTAGTGATGAAATGCTAGTATGTTTTCAGTTTAAACTCTGGTATGATCTTACTGAAAGCTATAGGTGTTTCACCCTTCTATTTAGTTCTTTCCTGAGTGGAGGGTTACTTGTAGTAAGTGCAGATTGGCAGATTTTCTCTATGGGCAAGCCTTGTTTTTTGCACTTGGCTGAAGCATTTTCTTTCTTAGAGATTTTTTGCTGAATAAATGTTTCTGCACAGAAACAAGTCTTGCCAAGTAGAGCAAAATGTGCTAAAATGTGCCACATCTTCCTTGTGGTCACTGAATAACCTTTTCAACTTAGTTTATTTACTTATTTCTCCTTTTGTAGAATCTTTGAGTGTTTCCACTCTTGTACATGAACCATATTAAACTTGTACAATAAACATGAATTTCTAAGGTTTTTGAAGCAGGGATCAGGAAGCTATTTCTATCAGAGCTATCAGGTATTTTTTCAAGAACTGGTGAAGCAGAAGTCACCATTTTTCCTGCGTGTCATGTAGTATCAGTTAGCCTTTCATCAGGTCTAAAACTGAACTTCAGAAATAGCTGCATCTCAAAGCCCAACAAAACCAACTCTTTTGAGTGGGATCATGCTGAGTATTTTTATGAGTCATGTGAACAGTGGAAATAGAATATGATTTTTATCAGGTTTGTAATGGGATTCAGAATAGATCACAGAAAAGTATCTTCTGGAGTGATTTAACTAAGGACTAAGAGAAGCAAAAGGGATGCAAACAAAAAGGTGGTCATTGAGTTGCTCATTTGCACTTCTCTTTAGATGCTAGGTTGTACTACAGCTAAAAATAAAGTCACAGTTTGGAGCAGCCTGGAATGCTAACAGCTCGACAGAGCAGGGAAGTGATAATTAGCACCACAGCTATTGGTTAAGTGAAAAATTCAAGGGCTTTGCAGTAGATTGAGATAAAAATACAAAGCTGGTTTGGCAGTCTTTAAAACAAGAATGAATAGGAATATGTATATATGAAGTCTTTATAGAAAACAGTGTTAAAAACTAATTGAAAATTAGCTCATGGGATTTTGTGCTTGAACAGAGCTAGAATACCATATATACAATATGGACATCCCAGTGTAACCTGCAAAATGCACTGATGCAGTTTGTTGTGATCCATCCAGAGCATACTGTGTAACCTCAGGCTTGATCACTTTCCCCTCTGAAAGGTCATGGTTATCACTGCAGTGATTTTTTCAAAGGCATGACAGAATGATTACTTTGCTGTCTCTAATTGTGTTTGATATGTATTAGCTGAATTAGCTATTTTTTTTTAATCAGACAAATCATATGAAGTGAGCCTAAGCCCTGTCTACTATTTAGCTCTTCAGAAGTCAGTTAAGAAAAAACACATTTAATTTTGATATGGCTGAGTATTGAGGGCCACAGATACCAAGTACAATATTTTAAACATTTTAATGAAAAAATAATTCCTTCATTTGAGTTATTTTTTTCTCTGATTCACTGAGCATGCTTATAAGGTATATTAATAAGGTATGCTTATAAGGTATATTAGTAAGGTATACTTTTTAAGGTTGTAGAAGAAGGAAAAACTCATCAGGTGATATTTTGAGAAATAGCACTTAACTATGTTTAAAAAATACTACACATTTTCACTAATTTAACATCACTTACACCTCACTCATCATGTCTCATGACTTTTTTTGTTTCTTTTTAAATTGATTTTTTTTATTTGTGACATTGTTTACTATACTTTTGTACTTCTGCCCTTGTCTTGCCCTCACATTTTTAGTTGAGATCCAAGTGCATTTGACTATTTTTCTTCTATTTTTCTTTCAACAGTCCTTTCTTCGTTAAGACAATTAAAAAAATGTGCAGCTTTAAATTATATTCATTTCTTCAATTCCCAACCTTACCCCTTCACCCTCCTCTCCTCCTTCCTTTTGTCATTTAGCTCAAGAACCTTGAACTACCTTTGTGTTGTATTGATTAAATTCCTGGTTGTCATTCTGCCAACTTTTGTACCATCCAAATTCTAAAATAGGGTCAATAAAAGGTGAAAACTCTGGTGGATTTTATACACAGATAGATTTTTAAAAATCATGATGGTCATCATCTGTCTTTTTTATTAGATGATTGAGGATATGAGGAGGATGGTGGCATGCAGTCATATTGCAAACAAATTTTTACTATCTCATCAGTTCCTGAGTGGATTAAAAAAAAACAACTTACGCATGTCACCAAAAAATATTAGCATGCTGTGTTTTGTCTTTGCACCACTTGGGGCAAGGTGAAGCAAGAAGCTAGGCAAGTGTAATTTTAGGGCTTGTAGTAAGAAAGCTTGGTAGTAACATCAAAGGCAAGTACTGGAAGTGTAGTAAAGAAGTGTAGACCTGGAGCAAAATACCATTTGTAGTGTATACATTCTTTATTGATTGTATTAATTACCTTTGCTCTTGTCTGTTGTTTGCAGCATCATGGGAAAATTAGAAAGACCAATTTCATGAAGAAGCATGAGAAGGTATGTATTTTATCCTTCTAAGTTGAGCTTGGCAGCAAGTATTTTTTTTCCCACTGTACTTGTGGGTTTGTGTTTCATTTTGTTTCATTGATTACTGTAGAAACAGCAGAACTGCAGAAATAGCAGTTTTTGGTGCACTTGTTTTATCTTCAAATTTCTGTGAGATAGACATTTTAATTCTATTGAAAATTGAAACTGTAATATAAAATTGTCTCCTAAAGCCATATTTTTGCGTACAAGAAAGTGTGTTTAATAAAGCAAGTTAAAGGTCATCATAAGTGGAGTCACCAAGTATCAGCATTTCTCTCAAAAATAATTTTATATTCTTTAAAGAATTTTTATAGAATGATTTTTATAATGAGTGAAATTGAAATACAGGGATAAACAATTGCAGATGTAGTGTTAGAAATAGACTAATTTGCTTCAGTTGGTGTGGGTTTATGTCAATATACCTTTGCCCAGAGAAGCTTGTCTAAGATCAGATTCACCTAACTCTAGTGGGTGCCTGCATATGAACCAGTTTATAGCCCATGCAGAGTCACTCAATGCAGTCACTGGAGTGTAGGGTGTGATTTGGCTCATACTAACGTAGGCTCTGTATTCAAGCAGATGAATTGCACCACAAATTGTATTGATTAGATTTCTGCTGGCTATATTTGGAACTGAGGAAACTGGTTTGGCTATCCATACCTGCTTGGCAGGAAGCTGACATTGGATGAAAGAAACCCTTCTGTAAAAGTTTAGGTATAGCAAGACTAAAAATCTGTTTTCTGATTCTTAACTGTGTCAGTCCAGAGACTGTTGGGGATTTTTTTTAATTGGAAAAAATGAATATTGTGAATGGGAGGAAGAAACTGACTTACTATTCTATTAATTGCCCTGTTGCTGATAAAAGCAGCATTTGTTTGGTTTCTGTGCATGGTTGGCCTGGAACGATGCATTTCCAGTTTAGTGACAAGTGAGAGATCTTCCTGGTGAATCTGTTTTTGCAGGTGAAACTTTTTCAGGTGTCAGTCTGTCAGACTTGTTGGTGTTGGTGTGGTTTTTTTTATTGGAAATGAGCTTATCTTGTATATCTGCTTCAGCCTAGGATTTGTTTTGTATCAGAGTTTATAGCTTACACCTGAATATACTTAATTGTAGAGCAACCAGAGAAGTTTGGAAATGCTTTCTGCATTACAAAAAAAGGAAGAGGTATCATTCAGTCTTCAAGTACATGCTGTAAAGGTTGACAATTCAGTCAGTTGTGGTTAAGGAGTTTCTTCTTTTTGTGCAGATAATTGAGTTTGGGTTAAGCTTTTGCTCTTTAAAGAGCTCTTGGGGTTCTTGTTCATGAAATTTTGGAAGGTGAATACATGGCTTGCAGCTGTGGGATAGTGAAAGGCTTAGGCCAGGTAAACAGAGGGAACATGAAACTGGCACTGCAGATAAAAAGCATGAGCGCACACAGTGGCAACTGGGAAAAAGTCTTTTTGAACAGTGAATGTATTGCCTTGGTAAAAAGGTGACAGGGGGCATACAGAGTTGATTTGATGGCGTATAAAACATTTTGACTGGATTTTTTGACTCTGGGAGATTTCTTTGTTTTTGAGAGGTGTTGAGTCCTTTGCAGTTTTATAAGTACTATCCTGTATAGCATTCTACCTTATCTCCTTGCAGAAAATTTTTAGTAACCACATTATATTTGAAGGAATTTCTAAACCATTGTTATTCTTCCAAGAAGTTATTCTTTTAGAATTAACTAATCTGCTTTTTTCTAGAGGGAAGCTTTTCTTTTAGATAACTTGAAAGTTTCAGTCTTCTGTCTAAATAGAGAACAAGAAATTTCTGAAGTAGCTGTATGTACTAAACAGAGCTTCAGAGATTACTCCATGCTAACTGCATTTGCTAGCTGCTTGGAGTGCAGTGATTTTAGTCTGTTTGTTGACAGTAAAGAATATGCTTTACAGAATTGGCATGTGTAGAAGCAGAAGGGCAGGTGATTGTGCAGTTCATAACTTACACCATATATACATTCTGACTGAAGATGCCATGGTAAAGTCTTGGCTATGTGTTTCCATGATTTTTCACACCGCTTGCATTGTTAGCCAAGAGGTAGCTTTGGGGACATCTCCTGGATTTGAAAAGTTAAAATGTGTATTGGATATAACTTTTGGTTTTGCTGAAGAAATGAGTGCTTGTGTTTTACTGATGACTCATTCCACAGAGGTGCTGGTGGTATATTTGAAGTGTTCTTTCCCAGAAGCATTGTGAAACAAACTTTCCCTTGAAAATTGTCTTTAATCTTGGATGCTCTGCTAGTAAAAATAAATCAATGTACACTGCAAAAAAGGCAACTGGATGTCAAAGGAGAGAGAATTAAATGCAAACTTAAAATAAAACAAGTATTTCCCTTGTAAGAGCTATCAGAAGTGTGGGTCATAAATCTCTGTAGTCCTAACAGTGCTGAGTTGGAATACTGCCCAGTTCTGCCTTATAAACTGTACGTCTCTTTTTTGTGGAATTGGTTATTTTGAAAATGCTTAGCATTGAACAATCAGGACTTTGTATTTCTTTGAATTCAAGTGAAAGCAACGTTACTACATAAAATAATCCATAATGCCTAAAATGGCCATCAGTGTCAGCTGAGGTGTGAGGTGTGTGTGATGCAAAAGAGCTCTGCAGATGCGAAGTTGAGCAAATATGCTGTGTTCTGATACCACAGTAGCTGGGCTGGTAGCTCATTATACAGCAGCTCTTAGCAGCCAAAAAGCTGACCTTGGGCTCAGCCAACTGAACTCTTTATTTTAGCCAGCTAAACCTGTGGGAGGCATGTGCACTCTGAGTCTTAGACTCAGCACTCTTTGCGTTGCCTCTGGAATACTCTGTCCAGTTTTGTCCTCTTCCTTTGGAAGAAATCTTTAAGCTCCCTACCAACACAAGCCATTCTGTGATTCTTTGAATGCCATAAAACATAGCCTTTCCTCTTTGTTCTTTAGATTGGGCAAGGTCATTAGACAAGATCAGTAAATGTATAAATCTACTGACAGGAAATTTGGCATAATGTTCCTCAAAAATGTTCCTGTTTATTGTGCAGTTTGAACACTTGCCATGTTAAATAGATCTTCCCGTCTATATCTTTTTCTCGATCATTAAGCAGGTATTCAGTGTTTTCCATAACATGTAAGTAGGCTGTGTGAAAGATTGCTGTGAATCATAGTGCTTCCACAGTGGCCAAAAATATAGGAATATCATCATGTGGTACTCCAGGGAATTGAAAGTGACTTAAGAAGTGTTGTTTCTGTTGCAGACCAGCAATCACCTACTTGGGCCGAAGCCATTTCCCCTGGACAGATTGTTAGCAATTTTATATAGTATTGTGGACAACAGAGTTGTTCCAACTGCAAATATCTTTTCCCAGGTGAGTGTGTACTTACTATTTAATTTGCTTTTTAGTGTCTGTAATATACCAAGTTTTAAATGTTTTTTGTAAGTCAGAATTCTAATTAAATGTAATAAAAAAACAGCCACAACAGGTAATTTAAATTGAAGTTTTGGAGTAATTTTTATCTGTATTACTAGCTGTGAATCCAGTACTTTATCTGTGTAATCTGAAATCTGCTAATAGATAACTTTCTCCTGATCCTGGACTGTGGTCTATGCTGTTCAGTTCCTCAGTTTCTCACTGAAGTCTGTAAGCCTGTTTGCATTTCAGGTTAGGTGTATGAATGTTCACTGTCCTGTGGCCAGAATTAGTCACCTTGTAACACCTGTTACAGAAATGTAGTGTTGAAGAAGAAGCAGGGGGAATAAGGTACTTACATGTGAACAGTGTTTGCTGTGGAACATGTACCTACTGTTTTTCATTTGGACAAAATTTAAGTCTTGCAGAGAAGAATGAATATCCCGTTTCACTAGATGGCAGCATAGCTATGGAAGTGAGTGGAATTAAGTAAATCTAGTATTTTCTCAAGAGCTCTGGGTTTGTCAAGTGTGTACTGACCGGTTCTGTATAAGTAAAAATGATTTTCTGCTATCAGTTTGATTCTTGGATATCATCTCCACCTTAGAAATTCTCAATTTCTTTGTTCTTTCCAGTTGTAATTAATTTACTAAAATATTTTCCACCTTTCCTTGTTAGGTATTAAACTAAACCAAATAATATTTCAATTTATTGCCTGTATTCATGTAAAGTTCTAGGAACATACATGTTTGTTTTTTAGGATGTTAGCTGTGTATTCTCTTTATTTTTGGCTATCAAAAGCATTTTGGTAAACACTAGAACGTGAATGTATTATATAACAGTATTTTACAGTATATTTTCAGAATTAGTGTAGCTGCATATTTAACAGGCATTCCAGGTAAGAGAACAAATTAATGCAATGTACAGTTAAGTAGTACTGAAGCCACAATTTGTACAAAGTATAGTTCCACCTTAGACTAAATTACAGAATGAAAAAGTTCAACGAAATGCTTCATTCTAATTTCGAGTTAGCACTAGGTGGCAGTGTTATCAAAGAATAGTTGCAATTATTTATTTTCTGAATATCTGGAGGTTAAGCTATAAAGATATAAAAAAATTGTATGTAATAATACCTGAGATAGGGCAAAGAACTTGAAATTAAATATCCTTATACAAAAATTAAATTTTATAAATTATTTAAGAATTTTTTTGTTATAAAGCAATTTTTACATTATTTTTAAATTAAAAATATTGAAATTCCATTGCAAAATAATAAAAATTACAACAGACTACAAAATAGGTTTGGAAGGTACTTTAAACCAGGCATAATATTTAATTGCTTTCTTTCTTGAATAATTTAAAATAATTTTCATTTCACTGATTTTTGTCATTTGTTGTTCTGTAAATATACTTTTCAAACAAAGTAAATATTTAGGATCTGGTTTCTCCTTAGCATTATTGATACATTTTACTATTAGATAACACAGTCTTAATTTTTTTTGTTTGTCTGTTCAGCATGGAAATAATTACAAATTTGTACAGAAGTTTAAAATATTTATGTCAAATATTTGGCTTCTTAACTGATTCACGATTAATTTTATGTGCTTCTTAATTTGTAAACTCAAAGGCTGTACATGAGCCAAATGCATGTTAATTCTCCCCATGTACTATCAGAAAATAGCATGCCTTAGCTTTAAAGTTGATCAACAATCGCAGTCAAGATTCAAGAAGGGCTAGCAGCTGCTTTAAGATCTATCACTTGCTGATTTTGTGATATTTCTTACTGCTTCTTGCTTTTCTCTATAGTTTCTATTCACATGAAAATTTTGCCAGTTAGCTTTTCAAAAGTGAAATATCTTTGCTAATGAGCAGCAAAATTTCATTTTTCCTCTTAATGATAGGTTTTATTGAAAATGTTTCATTTTTCTAAACAGATTTTCAACTTAAAATTTGAATCTTAATCTTCTGCCTTTTTAATATTATACTCTTGAAAACGGTCTCAAACATTTTTTCAAACCAAGAGTTAACGTATTTGTTTTACAAGTGTGATCTTTGCAACCAATAAAAAACTGAACAGCTTCTGCTGTAATTAGGTAACAGGAGATAGAATTTGGCCCATTCAGTTTTTGGTTTTCCTCAATAACTAGTACAAAAGAGTAGCATGGAGGGGTTGGGGGAGACAAATTTCCACTTCTACAAATGAAAATGTTTTAGTTGCTCCTTTGAAAGTTTAAATTTCTCTTGGGTTTGTGCTCTTTTTAATCAAACTTCTCAGACATCCAGTGAGGATTTTTTTGACATGAAGTTAATGTAAAGCTTGGAGGTTTTAATTATAGCTTCTTGATCTCTGTACATGCATGAATTGTTTGTGTTCATTTGAGAAGTTCCCAGTCTTCATTTTTCTCCAGGAAATTCACTGTTTTTCTTACAAATTTGTCATAATACTGGTTTTTTTAGCACATTGTGTATTAGTATAAGAGGTTACTGAATTTGTTTAAATTTATTTGCTTAGCCTTTAAACCAAGAGGTTAGAGGTAAGAGAACTGTTGATGTCTGGAACCATTTGAGAGGACGAGTTCTTAAAATGTTCTTCTTCAGATATAAGTTTGTATAATAATTTAACAGATTGAAGATATTGCAATCACCAGTAGGCAGTACATTCTGTGCTGGGACAGAACTTACACAGATGATGGTCTCTTTAGATACATGGCTGAGCTTGTGGCTGAAGTGTTTTAAAAGGTAAAACATGGAGAAACTGGTGGAAAGATGCAAATGCACTTTGACACAGTGCTGGAAACAGTGTGACTCTGGGTGTGCAGTCTGCATCCTACAACAACAGGGAACTCTAAGAGTTTCCTTACTTGGTGCAGCAGGAACAACCAGGAGTATTATTTGTGTCCCCATATGGAGCCACTGTGCAGAACAGGAAATATTCATTGTGTCCAAGGGCAATTACAACAGAATGGAGGGATACAAAGAAACTTTGTAAAGCCTCCTGAAAATGCATTCTGCAAAGGTTCTGGGAATATTCAGTCCTGGTTTGTGTAAGAATAGTAGTTCATTTTAGGCTTCCCACAGAAAATAGACAGAAATACAGCATAATGCTCTTCATAAAAATGTGCCCTAGTATAGGACACAAATGAATTTATGCACAAAGCATTGGGCAAGAATTATCACAACCAATTTAATTTAAATGAGGTCATTTTACATTGAAGAGAACAAGGGCCTTTCATATCACAATCAATGAGCAAGTAGATATTGTTGTTACTGTTTACAAGCCAAAACTAACCAATGTTTTTTCCTCTACCAAAATCATTCAGTAATTGCTTCTTCAACTCAGTTCAGTTCTCCTGACCATTTTTCATTTTCTAGGCATTTTATCTTGCTTCTGCTTTCTTGAGAAATAGGTTTTCATAAAGGGGATTGATTAGATCTAACTTGTACTTTTGAGCTATGATGTTATCTGAGGTAAAATGGAGCTAAACCCTTTGTGTGTCATACTTTTGTGTATTTTATTTCTGGTAATACATCTCTGAATATTTGGAAAAACATCTAGGATAACTTCTCTGAGTATATAATAGCTGAAAATTGGGTAACTAATCAGTAACTTCAGTTTTGTCTACATTTCTACTTTAATGTACTAAAGTTAAGTCATCCTAGGTGTGGTTTTAATGTTACTCATTATATTTAGCAATTACTTACAGATAGTTGTATAGTTAGAATTTACTTCTGTGACTGTAGTGCATTTGCAGTCAGATTTCTAGGAAGGCTGTTTATGAGTATATGGAGATACATCAGGTATCTTACGCATAGTCTGTATTTCATTAGATATTTCTTATCTCTTTGATGCTGGATCTAAGAAAAACATTTTATTTTTCTTAAGAGTATCACAAATTCATAAAACTAATTTAGTTATAAGTGTGTAAGAATTTGTAATGAAAGTTAACAAACCTAAAATTTTTTGATATGTTGTAAAGATAAATAGCATTGCAAATTTTTGTTCAAAGAGTAAGAACTTTTCATCTGAAGTTAAAATAAATGCAGATATGAGATTTTGAGTAGTGTGTTAAGTGCCAGTATGGTATGGGTCTATGAGAGGCACACAAACTGCTGATGTACATAACATAGTTCCAGCTGGAGGGAGCCAGAGGAATGTAGTTTTCTGTAATTGAGAGAGGAAGAAAGTGCCCTTTCTTGGAATATAAGAATTTGGAGAGATTTGTTTTCTTTTTTCTTGCTTTCTTGTCTGCCTTACATGAATAGAATAGGGAATACATAATATTCTTTATGTAAACTGGAACAGTATGAAGCAATTTACCTGCAAGATTTCTTTGTCTCTGTTGGATTGGAAGCACACTTTAGACTTCCTTTTTCAGATGACAATTTGATCTTTAAACTGCCCTGTATTTGTAAATTGACAGCTATGGAAAAATTTCAATAACAGGATTGGAAAGATGCCTGGTTTTGTTATCTACTTACTTGATTTGTGTTATGGCTTATATATGTCACAGCCTTTCTGGACACCAAATATCCACATCCTGATTACAGTTCTAACTCTATTACTGCATTATATTAGGTTCCCTTGATGTAACAATTTGATAAAGAGGAATTTGATTCTATGATTCTATAGTTCTGTGATTTGATTCTATGAATACTGTCAACAGTGTTTTGTTTTTTTTTCCAATGGAAAGCACTCTCAATCGCTTCTACAAGCTCAGATTATATTAATGTTTAAAAATACAAAGTTTTTCATTCCACATTTGACAACTCTTGACAGAATAAGAATTACTCATTTTTGCTGGATCAGCTGTATTGTATTCCAGCTTTCCTTGCTGTTGCAGGGGCTGCTCATAGAAACATTTTGCATCTGGTTTTGACACTATTATTTAAGACTAATAGAATACTCTCCATTTAAAAAGTGAATAGGTAGGTGAATTTCTACAGAAAAAGGTGTAGCT